CAAACTCTGGCCCGGTTGCGTTTGCCGTGTAGTAGGAGACCGACTAGAACACATGTGGGTCGTGTACAACTTATGCAGCGACAAAACCTGAGAAACCTACTTTTTACCCTTCTTCCGCTTCTCCTTTTTATCTACAACCTGCATTTCAACCGGACTCCGCTTTCCATTCGGTGGCAGTGGAGACTGGAAATACGCTAATAGAAAAGAACAGAACAACTCCAAATATTTGTTTTTTGTTGCATCATATACGTTCCTAAATTGGAAACCGTTATCATATGTAGTCGAAGTCATGAATCAGAGAATCCTAAGGAAACCAACTATACTATACAAATCTTCGCTTGTACTTAGGAAGCAAATTAGTAAATAAATCTCATGTCATGGGTATTGAAGACTCGTGATTCCTGCCAACCTCTCTGCCTGGGTCGGTACCACCTTCCAGATCTCCAGCATCGGCACCCATTTCGACATTGTCAACGCCTGTGGACGGAGTGACAGGACGACGCTTTTGCATCAAGTCCAGCACTTTACGCTTGCTTGCTTGCAAGGCAACCTAAAAAATACGTTATATCATGAAAGATGAGTTTCATGCCTCTGGGAAAAAAGAAGAAAAGAGGAAAACAACATCGCAAAGAAAAATTCCGCGTTGTTTTCAAGAATTCAAAGAAAAAGAAATTCACATGAAGGCGTTGCTTCCTGGTGCTCGAAGGTCGATTTCGATTGAGACCGCCATCTTCTTCTGCACCATCTTCTGTCGCCAGTGACAGCGATGAGGCAATAGAACTTACACTCTCTGCCTAAATTAAAGGGGTTGAAAGCGCAAAAGATGGCAAAAAATTCGGGGTATAAATGGATGGCTAAACCCAGGACCAAACTGGTGTGGTGCTTGGAGCATTAGTAAGGATGGGCCAGCCAGCTCACCATCGCCATGCAACTGTGCTAAGGCAATGAGAGAAAGAGCATGAAGAGGAGGGTACGATGTGCTAGCGTAACAGATGAGGGGCCCTTCAAGCTATCTTCACATACCCCTTGTACCCTTGTCGCGCGATTTCCATGCATGGATAGCAACATTTGTGATCGCCCTTCAAGGGTCTATCCTTGAACGAAAGGAATAGTTCACATGACACCTGCCTGGGTTATGCCTTTAAGGCCTTAAGCACTACCATCATGAAACCTCACTTCCTCCTTCTATTCAGCTCACTTCCCACGAGTGATATGAAAGTACCATGGAAAAGGTCGCTTGGATAAGCACCCACATGTCAAGTTAATGTCCATGGTTTGCGATGAATTGGAATTAATACGCCACGCTTTTGACTCCAACTGTAAAATGTTAAAGGGCTTTCAGTATCAGCCGATAAGTAATGATAACTCTTCCATATGAGCTGACCGAACTGAATGGCAATATGCCACCTCCGTCCCATCGAGCAGATAAGAGAGAAATCAAAACACTTAACGAACCATTTGACCTCCCAGTGTCGTTGGCAATAACCCAGCTGCTGCGACTTCTTTTTCAACGCTTGCCATCGTCATTCCTGGTGTCAAAGTGTCGTCTTTTGCACGTGGAGTGAGCACACTCGGGGTGAGGGTGCCATCATGATCGACAATGTCATCTAATGTTGGCATCTGGAAGATCTCTTGCAACCTCGTCAGATGACAACCAGAACAAATTAATTCCAGGAGCACAAACCAGCTGATCGTTGGTTGGCTCGCTTCCAAGAGAACTAAGAGTGTAGACCGAAATTACTTCATCTTCCATGCCACCTGATACAGACGAACTGATTGATATCGAGTCCAACGCCTTGGCCACCAACTGGCTTTCGGAACTTGAAACAGATTAATAATATAATGAGACCAAGTTTACATGGGAATATCTATTTTTAGGTGAGACTCGGATCAGGCAGTACTCACCGTGTTCTGCGCAAATCTGTGCTTGCCTGGCTAACGAGAACATGCGGTACACGATCACTCTCCGTACGTAACACTGAAGCCACAGCAGGTCGGTCGAAGTGAGCATCTGAACATGAACATACAAATTTTTCATCTCACTCAGGCTCATTGCAAACTGGCTCCTTGAATGTAAATGGAAACGGTAAGCTGTAGGTCCAACTAATCAACTCTCACGATCAGCTCACAACTAATACCTCGATGTTGTAAAAGGAAAGTGGTCGATTGGGCCGTCACCATCGTGCGAGTGACAAAGACCCCAAGTCAAGTGCTTTTCAAAGATTGTTACATTCTCATAGGTTTCAAAAAATCTTCATGGCAATTTGACCGAACAAACCACCATAACTCCATGAAGGGTTGAAGCTTCTAGATAAGACTCAGGAAAGAACTAATAAATAAGAAGAGATTACTCATAATATTGACCCTAAGACCCGGCCAGAATCTAGTCTCCAGTGATCTCCACATGTTGCCTGCACCATGGTAAATGGAAACGCTGACGAGTTCTGTCACTACGCTTCTACGCTGTCAATTTGAGTAGCGAACTGCATGTGATAAAGCTAAGTCTTCTAGCCATTTGCTCGAAGCGCAGGAAGGCAGACTCGTTTCGAAATCGATCCCAAGACCTTTTGCTTGTGAGCAAGAATCAGAACTGTTGCGCACTTCCACTTGATAAGTGACTTCAGAGGGTCGCTTCGAGCTTTTAAGAAGGTTAGAGCGCGTCTCTTAGCACGCGCCCTTCGGTGGGTACTTCCTTGAAAACGGCCGTATCCTCTTCACTTTGTTCACATTATTCTGTGCAAAACATCTTTGAACAACCCCAGATTCAGTAGAAATGAGGATCGGTGTTATTCAATCTACTTGAATTGCGCCTCGCATAGGATTTTCATAGCAACTTTAAGATGCATTCGAATTCAACCTGAGCCTATACGAAATTTATGGAAGCCATTCGAAATTTCAGGTCTGTAGGTGCCATCAGGGGCGGAAGTGGTGTAGTGACAAGTGGCGCGCTTAACGCGGGGGATCAAATCCTGGGTCGTGAGTCGCCCGGGCCAACCAAGCCTTCCATCCCTCCGGGGTCGGTTAATTGGTACCAGACTTGTCTGGGAGGATAAAAACACTGACTTGTACATCGGCTGGCCCCCGCAAGTCATTGTATAGGCCACATCGCATTCAAATGCGAATGTACAAATGGAAGTAGAATGCCCGCATCCCAAAAAGGGATTGATCAACGACCAATGGTTAACCAATGGTTACGCACCAATGGTTACGCATTTAGAACGCCGTTTCATTAGAGAGAAACATTCGTACACCTAGCACATTCAACAGTATAACTATTCCACTGCAGCAATACCTGTCTACAGAGCGAACTGCTGGGTAGATGTGGATTGAAGCTTTGAAGGATTTTACGATGAAAAGGAAGCTCATTGGAAATAAGGGTAGAGGTGGTCAGTGGAGCAGGGATGAAGAAGAAACCATGGAAACGGCCCGAAACCCGAGAAATGGGACCCCTTCCTTGCCCGTTGATTTGCGCATTGATGCGACTCTCATCGCTGTGCCCTCTTCAACACTACGCTCTCTCTGCTATCTAATCACTCGCTGGGGCATGTCCCTCGATGCGGACTGTGTGTTGGGCCGCACCCTTAGAGGGTCCGTGTGTCTCTCCACTAGATAAGTTTCCCCTTCTTCGACCTAGTTATTATCATGGAATCCTCTTCTAACTCTTTGGCCCTCAAGGTTGCGCATCGAGAATCAAAGGTGAAAGATTAGCCGAGCCAAAGTATCGTATTATCAAAAAAGTAGGCCATTATTACTGCAACTTTTTTACATTTAGTCCCTTTTTCTACTTCTACAACTTGAAGACTTCTTCCTAAATCGACCATAGGGCTCGAGCAAAGAGACAGCGCATGCATACACCTAATCGCGAATCACCATTTTTATTCAGTTCCCTAAGGCGTTGACTGTTTTGAAAGTCGGTGCACGCAGCTAGCTTCCTGCCCTTCTCACCAATTTTCAGCCTCATTGCGTAGCAAAATTCGACTACCATTTGCCA